CAGAATAATAATAAATTTAGATATGCAGTTAAATTTATCTTGAGAAATCCCTGATGGATTTATAATTCCTGAAATGAGAATTTATGTGCCATTATTTACTCTTTAAAGAGTTGCGAATGAAGTTATTATCCTCATTAAGAAGAATAATATGTACCATTATGTGCTCGATAAAAGGTTGATAATGAACTTATTTATTATTTACTATCTCAGTCAATATTGATAGTGTAAACATCGTTGAAATAACTAAAGAGCTTGATGATATCAATTCATATCTAAAGATGGAGTTTTTGAAATAAAAAGCTTGTGAAAACTAAGTATTCTCTCGACTTGAAGATCGAGTTTTTCTTTGAATGAATTTTATACACCAGTTAGCCTATTTTTCACCTGTCTATATGGTTAGGTATCATGGTTTTGTCAAACTATAGGTTGCCTAATAATCTCTTGAAGTAGATAAGGGACCGTTTAGACTCGGTAAGGATACCTTAACAGTCCTTTACTTCATTTGTCGTTGGAGAACCTTTTAGAACCAGAAGTTCCATAATCGCAACAGACATGATATTTGCGATAAAATTGCTAGCAACATCTAGGGCTATTTCTACAATGAAATATTGGAATATTGTTTAATATATATTTCGAGTTACAAAAGAGTTCGGCATTTATATGAGAAACAAATGTATGGTTTTGATAGGCTGTTTGGGTATTGGCTATTATATATGTTTGATCCCCGTGATGCCAAAATTCCAAACTAGTTAAACAATGAATTACCCCCAATGTCTTAAATGAGGACAATAACACTCGAGTTGCAGAAATGATATATGAGTATGTTAAAGAATATTTGACAAAGCAATATAGCGTCAAAATTCAACCAATACGAGCTCTATAAGAGTTGTTGGAATATTAAAAGTCTTGGGCATCTCACTAGCCTTAGTAATTAAATGGGCAGCTCACAAGCCTCAGTAATTAAAGCCTTGGGGAGATGAGTAGTTTCTTTATTTATTATTGTTTACTTTTGTAGACCTATATATAGACTTGTAACTTGAAGTTAGATACAATACAAGAACCCTTTCTAGCATTTAACATGGTATCATAGCCTCTTTTTTGGGGCCTGAAATTTCTCTCAAACACCTACAGCCGATGAACAGTGGTGACTGTTCATCATCCCTTTTCCGACAAAATTTTCCAACTCAGTTTGTCCCTTTTCTGCGATTATATGGTGATTTTTTCATATTTTTCTGAAAGCTATGGCAAAACATGAGAGTTTAAACAGCATGCTGAAAGTTGCAAGGACCAACTTGTCTCATACTGCTCTTGCATTAAAATCTGATTCATCTTGGATTCTTGATTCTGGAGCCACTGATCACATTTCTGGTAATCTCTCATTTTTCTCTAATATTGAGTTCTCAGATTCTCTTCCCGATGTCACATTTGGTGATGGATCAAAAGGAAAAGCTATAGGAATTGGAAAAGTCACCATTCATTCTTTGTCTTTATCCAATGTCCTTTACATTCATGGTTGCCATTTCAATTTGATTTCAGTTAATCAACTTACTCACTCACTTAATTGCCTTGTCACCTTTTCTTCTGATTCGGTGGTTATTCAGAACCGTCAAACAAAAGGGACAATTGGTGTAGGATATGAATCACGAGGTCTATACCATCTTTCATGTTCTGCCAATACCAAAACAGCTTGCTCGGCTTCTATTTCACCCCTTCTTAACCATTGTCGTTTAGGACATCCTGACCTCAATAAATTAAAACAACTGGTTCCTGGATTGTCGAATTTAAAAACCATAGAGTGTGAATCATGTCAGCTTGGGAAGCACTCAAGGGCTTCATATCCTAGTAGAGTGAATAAGAGGGCCAATACCCCATTTTCTTTAGTTCACTCTGATGTTTGGGGACCGTGTTGAGTTTCATCCACTTTGGGTTTGTCATATTTTGTTGTCTTCATTGATGATTTCTCTCTATGCACTTGGGTTTTTCTAATGAAGAACCGTTTTGAATTATTTGATGTGTTTCAAAAATTCTACAATGAAATTGTGAATCAATTTGGGGCATCTCTCAAAATCTTACGCAGTGATAATGCAAGAGAATATTTTTCTGACCCTTTCACTTCTTTCTTTTCCTCAAATGGAATACTTCATGAATCATCATGTGCTAGAAGTCCTCAACAGAATGGAGTTGCTGAACGAAAAATTCGTCATCTTGTTGAAACAGCTCATACTTTGCTTATTCATAACAAGGTACCTAAGAATTTTTGAGGGCATGCTATACTTCACTCTTGCTATCTCATAAATCGTATGCCTTCCTCTGTTTTGCAAGGAAAAATTCATCTTCATATCTTACGTCCACAGGAACCTCTCCATAAGCTTCCATTGCGAATCTTTGGGTGTACTTGCTTTGTTCATAATACTTCTCCAGGGCGTGATAAACTTGATGCCAAGGCAATAAAATGTTTTTTCCTTGGGTATTCTCGCCTCCAAAAAGGCTTTAAGTGTTACTGTCCTAGAACACACCGGTTTTATACCTCTTCCGATGTTACCTTTTTTGAAACAACACCTTTTTTCTCTTCCACCTCCGTTGAGTCTAATTTCCTAGGGGAACCCATTGAAATCACAGAAATTCTCCCTGTTCCTACTTTCTCAGAACCTATATCTCCCACTGTTCCTGAAAGGACCATACCTATTCCTGAAAGAACTATTCCAACTCCAACCATTCAAGAGGAAGGACATATTCCACCGTTGTTGTACACCTACCAACGACGCAATCGTCAAGATTCCCAAGAGGATAGACATCCAGTTGAGTCATGTTCTACATCATTGTTACCCAATGATGCTGCCCAAAACACCACGACAGACTCTCCCATTGCCAGTCGGGTAGGTAAAAGATCCACTCGAAATCCTTACCCTATCTATAATTTCCTTTCACAAAAACGTCTGTCTCCATCATATTGTGCCTTCATTGCTAGTTTGTCAACTGCTTTTGTTCCAAACAATGTCAAGGAGGCATTAACTAATCCAGGGTGGACTCAAGCAATGGTTGATGAAATGAATGCACTACATTCTTCCGGGACTTGGGAGTTAGTACCTTTACCTCCTGGTAAAACTGTGGTTGGTTGTAGATGGGTGTATAATGTGAAGGTTGGTCCAGATGGACAAGTTGATAGACTCAAAGCTCGACTTGTGGCTAAAGGATACACACAGGTTTTTGGCATTGACTACACGGATACCTTCTCACCGGTGGCCAAGATCATCCGCCTCTTAATCTCAATGGTAGCCAACCATCACTGGCCACTGTATCAGTTGGATATAAAGAATGCCTTCTTACATGGGGATCTGAATGAGGAAGTGTATATGGAGCAGCCACCTGGATTTGTGGCTAAGACAGGAGCTAATCTTGTTTGTCGTCTTAAGCGCTCTCTCTATGGGTTGAAGCAATCTCTACGTGCCTGGTTTGGGAGATTTAGAGATGTGATCCAACAATTTGGCATGATTCAAAGCAAGGCTGACCATTCTGTTTTCTATAAACATCTACTTGGAAAAAGTATATATCTTGTGGTTTATGTTGATGATATTGTCATTACAGGGAATGATAGTGAAGGAATAAATCAGCTTAAGAAACATTTGTTTCAACATTTCGAGACAAAGGATCTTGGAAAATTGAAATATTTTCTTGGTATTGAAGTTGCTCAATCCAAACAAGGTATCTATGTGTCTCAACGAAAATATGTTTTGGATATTCTTGAAGAAACAGGAATGACAAATTGCAAACCAGTTGACACACCCATGGATCCAAATGTCAAACTTCTTCCAAGACAGGGGGAGCTCCTATCCAATTCAAGTAAGTATCGGAGATTAGTTGGCAAGCTATTGTACTTGACTATCACTCGACCAGACATCTCCTTTGCTGTAAGTGTAGTTAGCCAATTTTTGCAAGAGCCATGTCAAAGTCATTGGGATGCAGCCGTCAGAATATTGAGATATGTGAAAAGGTCTCCAGGTACAGGGTTGCTCTATAAAGATCATGGACATACAGAAATTGTTGGCTATACAGATGCAGATTGGGCTGGATGTCCTTGGGATAGGAGATCAACATCAGGATATTGTATTCTATTTGGAGGTAATCTTGTCTCTTGGAAAAGTAAGAAACAAGATGTGGTTGCACGCTCAAGCGCAGAAGCTGAATACCGAGCAATGGCACTTGGAATATGTGAGCTAATTTGGGTTAAACAACTTCTTACAGAACTCAATTTCTATAAGCATGGTCCTATGAAATTAATTTGTGATAATCAAGCAGCGCTCCACATTGCGTTTAATCCTGTCTACCATGAAAGGACTAAACATATTGAGGTTGATTGCCACTTTATACGAGAGAAGGTCGCATCCGGAGACATTGTTACCACATTTGTTGGGTCAAATGATCAACTTGCTGATGTTCTCACCAAATCTCTCCGTGGACCTAGGATTGAATACATTTGTAGCAAGCTGGGAGCTTTTGATTTATACGCTCCAGCTTGAGGGGGAGTGTTGGAATATTAAAAGTCTTGGGCAGCTCACTAGCCTTAGTAATTAAATGGGCAGCTCACAAGCCTCAGTAATTAAAGCCTTGGGGAGATGAGTAGTTTCTTTATTTATTATTGTTTACTTTTGTAGACCTATATATAGACTTGTAACTTGTAGTTAGATACAATACAAGAACCCTTTCTAGCTTTTAACAAGAGTCACAAAATTATTGTGCAAGATATTCACTCTAGTGACAATCCAGAAGAGTTGACTAATCCATTTCTACAATTTTGGATATATATATGTGTGGATCTCAAGATTGTCTTCTTGAGGGGGGGTATCATTTTACAATCCTGAAGATTGGGTCTTGATGACTAACAACTGTACTCTTTTTCCTTAGTTAAAGTTTTTCCCCACGGGGTTTTTTTTCCCTTAAATCTAAGGTTTATAATGAGGCAGCTAATCTAAAACAAGAATACACATAATCACGCACACTTTTTCCTCAACTAGTTTTTCCCACTAGGATTTCTAGTGAGGTTTTTAATGAGGCATGAGTATAATATAGTAATGTAAATGGGGAAAAGTTACAAAATAATTGCTTAAGTAGACAAACCCCAAAATCCTGAAGATTATGCCTTGAAGGCTTATGATTGTACTCTTTTTTCCTTAACTAAGGTTTTTCCCACTAGGTTTTCTTAGTGTAAGGTTTTTAATGAGACAACTAATGCAACACATGTTTATCCATATATCATGTACTCTTTTCTCGACTAGGTTTTTCCCACAGGGTTTTTCTAGCGAGTTTTTAATGAGGCATGATTATGGTAAAATAATGTCCAAGGAGGAGTGTTGTAAAACCTTATGTGGACATTATTCTCGTTTTATATTGATGATAGGATTCTTAATATTGTAGGAGTCCTAATACTGTAATAGTCTTAAATGCTATTATGATAGAGAGATTATATATACCATTATAATACTGTACAGAGTTTTTGATGATAATAAGAATTACTTTTCTATATTCTTTATTCTTCTTCTCCCTGCTATTATTACTCTTTATTGTTCTTCACGAGCTAAAGACCTGCAGACAAACCTGCAATTCAACAAAATTCATAAATATAATTGTCTAAAGCATATTACATTTCCTAATTTCAAAGAGAATTACTGCTAATCACATGATGTAAAATAACATTAAAATAGAGTGATTCCAATTTTTTTTCACTGCTTAATGCCTTTTTAAATTATTTGTCCTTTTTCCCATATTTATTTTAGAATAATATAATTATCTAAATTATATTACAATTTCAATTTTTTTCAAGATAATTGCAAACAATCGAGTCATATATTATTCAATTAATTAGATAATACTTTTACACTAATCTTATAATCAAATAATTGTACACTTTCAAATATTAAAATTATTTATAATTTAATATTTAATTTTATTATATATATATAATAAATATTTATAAATAAAGCACTCTTTGATATAGCTTTGTTCAATGCCCTGAGACCGGATGGTTTGTGTTAGGACTCTTGTATTAGTAGTTGGCTAGGACTCTTTACTTATCTCCTTATATTGTTATTGTTCAGACTATTATTGTTTTACGTTGAATATACAATCCTCATCTGGTATCAGTATCCAGGGATTCCTATTTCCATGGCAACCTTGGGAGATAACAATGGCGGTTCTGTTCGTGATTCGTCTGAACGGACTGTGTCCAAGGTTGCCCCCACTCCCGTTTACCCGAATACTAGTTTGTCCTCCGCCCATCACTTCGTGTCTATCAAACTTACCGCCCACAATTATTTGTTTTGGCGTACTCAGATGTTGTCATTCTTGGAAGGCCAAGGGTTACTTGGATTTGTTGATGGCACACTGCCATGTCCGACGCCAGTACTGCCGTCGTCCGTCCCGGTGGAGTCGACGACGGACAGCGCTGGCCGGCCGTCTGATTTGGCTTCGCTGCAGCAGCAATGGCGCCGGCAGGACAAGGCTGTCCTTTCTCTCCTGATTTCATCCTTGTCCGACGAGATGCTACCTATGGCGATCGGGCGCTCTACGTCGCGGCTTCTATGGTCGGCGATCGAGCAGGAGCTTGGCTCGGCGACGCGTTCTCGGGCTTTGAGGCTCCTCGGCGAGCTGCAGGGGCTGTCCCAGGGGGCGTCGTCCGTCTCGGATTATTTGAGTCGGGCGAGAGTTCTGGTTGAGGATTTGGCGCTGGCCGGCCGGGTTATTACGCTTGATGATCAGAATCTCTACGTTTTTCGTGGATTACGACCGGAGCTCCGTCCTCTTGTTGCACCACTGACGCGTGGCTCTCCGGTAACCTTAACTGAGCTTTCTGATTATTTAACTTCGCAGGAGTATATTTGTGCGCCGGGTGGTGGTGATGCTGCTGCCCCGACTGCTATGGCAGCCTCGCGTGGCCGAGGAGGAGGCCGCAGTGGCGGCCGGTCCTATCGTGGAAGCTCGGGCAGTAGCAGTGGAGGTTCGGCAGTGGCGGCTCGGGTGGTGGAGGTTCGGGCCGAGGTCGTGGCCGTGGGCGGTCGGACGTCCGGTGTCAGATTTGCGAGAAGTTTGGGCACTCGGCACGGGCTTGTTTCCAGCGTTATTCTGAGACCACAGATCCTCAGGCGCATATGGTTGTTTCTGGTGGTGAGACCGGTGGTGTTGAGTCTCATCAGTGGTTTCCTGACACGGGAGCCACGAATCATGCTACTCCCGACTCCTCTATGTTGACTTCTTCGGCTCGTTATGATGGTCCAGACACCTTACGTGTGGGTAATGGTGCAGGTATGCCTATTTTTAGTGTTGGGTCTACTTCGATAGCTTCTTCTTCTAGATCGTTTAGTTTAACTGATGTTCTGCATGTTCCTGGGTTGTCTTCTTCGTTGCTTTCTGTTCAGCGGTTTGCTAAAGATAACCGTGTCTTTTTTGAATTTCATCCTGACTGTTTTCTTGTGAAGGATCTCTTGACCAAGAAGGTGGTTTTTAAGGGGGGGTACCTCCGGTGGCTTATATTCGTGGCCTGTGTCTTCGAGTCCGTCTGATTTTGTTGCTGCGCGTGCGTCGTCTTCTACTTGGCACAAGCGGCTTGGTCATCCACACACACGGGTGTTGCGTCAGATATTGCAGACATCCGGTGTTAGTTCGTTTAATTCTAGTGATTTGTCTCGTTTGTGTTCTTCGTGTCAGTTAGGGAAGTCTTCCCGTTTTTCTTTACCTCGTGTTGAGACTAAAAGTACTCGAGTATTAGAACTTATATATACTGATATTTGGGGCCCAGCGCCTGTGTACTCTGTTAATGGTTTTCGCTATTTTGTTCTGTTCGTGGATGATTTTACGCGATATATGTGGTTTTATCCTATGCGTGCAAAAACGGATATTTATTCTATCTTTGAACGGTTTCGGTCACTAGTTGAGCGGTCATATTCCCACAAAATCGTGTATATTCAGTCTGATCTAGGGGGAGAGTACAAAAAGCTCCACTCTACTTTCGAGTCGCTCGGTATTCGTCACAGGCAGTCCTGTGCATATACTCATGAGCAGAATGGTCGGGTAGAACACCGCCATCGGCATATAGTTGAAACTGGGTTGGCTTTGATGGCTCAGGCGTCTATTCCCTCTCGTTTTTGGGATTATGCGTTTGAGACTGCAGTTTACTTGATTAACAAGATGCCTACTCGTGTGTTGAATGATGAGTCTCCTCATTTTCGGCTCCATCGTTCGCCACCCTCTTATTCTTTCTTGCGTGTTTTTGGCTGTCTGTGTTTTCCTTTGTTACGTCCCTATAATCGTAATAAATTGGAATATCATTCGTCTCCCTGTGTTTTCTTAGGTTATCCTGACTCTTTTCGAGGCTATCGTTGTCTGAATCCTAACACTAATAAGGTCTTTATCTGTCGCCATGTGCGATTTGATGAGTCCGTGTTTCCTTTTGCTGGCTCTATTTCTTCGCAGGTGGTTTCTCGGCCCCCGGCTGCTCCTTGGGGTGTTTCTCCGGTTGTTTCTGTGCCTCCTCCTACTACCGAGGTGGTGGATAGTGATTTTGATAAACAGGTTGTGGATTTGGATCCGGTACCGGCTGACTCTGTGTCTAGTGAGCAGACAGTTTCTGTTCGGCCGGCTCGTGGTCGTCCTCGCCGTGGGACTAAGGTGGTTGGTCCTCGTTCTCATGTTATGGCCACACGGAGCCGGGGTCCACAGGAGCATGTGGCATTGGTGTCTACTGTTGATCCACCTGAGCCCACGTGTTACTCCCAAGCAGTCAAGCATCCAGAGTGGCGTGAGGCCATGGATGCTGAGTTTAATGCTTTGCTTCAAAATCAGACCTGGCGGCTTGTTCCCTATACTCCGGGGATGAATGTTGTGGGCTGCAAGTGGGTATTTCGTGTCAAGAGGAATGCTGATGGGTCTGTTGAGCGGCACAAGGCCCGGTTAGTTGCCAAGGGCTTTAATCAGATTGCGGGCAAGGATTTCTTTGAGACGTTCAGTCCGGTTGTTAAGCCCACCACGGTTCGTCTCTTGCTTTCTCTGGCCTATTCTCGTGATTGGTGTATTCGGCAGCTGGATGTACACAACGCCTTCCTTAATGGGCGTTTGGCTGAGACAGTGTATATGCGTCAGCCTCCGGGATACGAGGACAAGTCAGCTCCTACTCATGTTTGTTATCTGCAGCGCTCTTTGTATGGGCTTAAGCAAGCCCCGCGTGCATGATTTACCCGGTTACATAACTTTCTTCTTTCCGTTGGCTTTACTCCATCGAAGACTGACGTGTCTTTGTTCATTTATTCTGATCATGGTGTGCAGCTTTATTTTCTGGTTTATGTCGATGACATTCTTGTCATGGGCTCGGATTCTCGCCGAGTTACTGGGCTGGTGGATCGGCTTGCTCAGGAGTTTAAAATTCGAGATATGGGGCCCCCATCTTTTTTTTCTAGGGATTGAGACTGTCTCTATTTCTGATTGTATTCTTTTGTCTCAGCGTCGTTATGTTCAGGATATTCTCAAGCGTGCAGGGATGGTTGACTGTAAGCCGGTTTTTACCCCGATCTCGGTTGCTCGCTCTGACGACGGTGATGTTGCTCCCTTTGCTGATCCTACGCACTATCGTGGGCTAGCTGGTGCCTTGCAGTACTTAACGGTGACTCGTCCTGATTTATCCTTTGCAGTCAACCGGCTATGTCAACGCATGCAGGCTCCTACTACTGCTGATTGGTCTATGATGAAGCGGGTGTTGCGTTATGTGAAAGGCACTCTTGGCATGGGGCTGTGTGTTCGGAAGTCTTTATCTACCTCGCTGCATGCGTTTTCTGATTCGGATTGGGCTGGTAGTCCGGATGATAGGAAGTCTACCAGTGGTTTTGCGATATTTTTGGGCTCTAATCTAATCTCGTGGTCGTGCCGGAAGCAACGCACTGTGGCGCGTTCTTCTACTGAGGCAGAATATAAGGCCTTAGCTGATGTGGCGGCTGAGGTGACATGGCTTGTTTCTTTGCTTAAGGAAATCGGTTTCTCTCCAGCTTCTCCGCCTAGTCTATGGTGTGACAATTTGGGTGCTACGTACCTGTGTGCCAATCCGGTTTTCCCTGCTCGGACTAAGCATGTGGAAATTGACTATCACTTTGTCCGAGACAAGGTCGCCAAAAAGGAAATTCAGGTTCACTTCATTTCCACGAAGGATCAGATTGCTGATATTTTTACCAAGCCACTTACGTCAACTCGATTCTCTCTTCTTCGTGACAAGCTCAACATTTCGACTGCTCCACCTTGAGCTTGAGGGGGAGTGTTAGGACTCTTGTATTAGTAGTTGGCTAGGACTCTTTACTTATCTCCTTATATTGTTATTGTTCAGACTATTATTGTTTTACGTTGAATATACAATCCTCATCGTTTGCACGCTGATTTACCAAAAGCTTTGGAACATCGTTGATAACAATCTAATCACCTTCGTGAAAAAAAAAAACAAAAAAATAAAAAACAAAAAAAAAAAAAAAAAAAAAAAAAGATAATGGATAAATTCTAATAGAAATAGTAGTTTACTTTTTATTTATCAAATTTTATAGAAATGGGACAAAATTGGTTATGGTCCTTATGGAACACTTATTAGAACTAATAAAGGCAATATGTCACAAATTATTATTTGAGAAATAAATTTAAAAGAATAGATCTTGTGTGAGACCATCTCACAAACATGTTATACATTTTAATTAAAAAAAATTACATTTCTTACATAAAAATAGTCTCACACTAAACCTATTCAATTTAAAAATGACATCATAACCAAGAGTTAATGTCATATGGGGTCCTCCGAGTATAGTGAATTTGTGACCTTTAGTTCTAAACTTTCAAATTGACCACTTGTGGTCTTTCGACTTTCAAATTGTTACCATCTATGGTCCAAGTTAACCACACATAGTTCTTCAACTTTCAAAATTTAACCAATCATGGTCCTCTTAGAATAATTATGAGTGGTTAAAATTTAATAGTTGAAATATCATGGATGATTAACTTGGACCACGAATAATAATAATTTGAAAATCGAAGGACCACAAGTGATCAATTTGAAAGTTTAGGACTAAACATGACAATATCAGAGAATCCTGAATAATATTAACTCTCATAACCAATGACTAAATTGAAATTTAACTCAACTTGTAGTAGCACTTGTTATTACAGAAGAGGGGAGAGTGAATCTCAGGAGAATAAGTAGCCCTTCATGTTAATTGGTGCTACTCACTTTTCTGTCGAAGCTGCAACTATGTAGGTGTCAATATCTACAACCCCAAACATCACAATATTCCATATTTCCATGCTTATATTCCATATTTCCATGATTCCTAAGCATAATCATATACTTCTGTCTCACTTTATCTATCATACTTACTATTCATTAGTCAAACCAACTATTTCTTTTTTGTTTATTTTCTTTATTATTTTTTACTTATTTTTAAATTTAATTTTTTGTGCTTAATAGTACTTTTAGTATAGTTTCTAAATATTATAAATTTTGTATGCTAATACTAAACTTAATATTATAAAAAATTGAATTTAAAATAACTTCAGTCAAGCCTCGTTAACCGAATCAGACACATAAAATAAAATGAAGGGAGTAACAATTTTTTACATTATCAGCAGACACCAAAAAGGATCCATCAATGCCCAAAGGTGCTACTAGAAGACACCAACTTTTTGTACTCATTGATTGCGGATGAAATGGTGCAAATTTTTTACTTTAACAAAAGATCTCGGATTTGAGTCTTAAAAATACAATTATCTTAAAAACTCATAAGTCAACGTTTTGTCACTCTTAGAGGATGTTTGATATTTTTCTATCAATTAAAATTTTGGAAAAATATTTTCAAGGAATGTATTTGACGAAAAATAACTTTACAAAAAATTTAATTAACATGTTTGGTGTTACCCTAAAAACATAAGAATTAAATTACCTATAAAATAATTAAGATGTTTGATTCATTTAAACTTCCTTAGGAAATTTTTAAAAATCTGTAGTATATCCTTGTTATATACACATTAAAAAAATGTTGTTATCCTTTGTAATTATGGAGACAAATTTCTTATATTTATAAGATACAAAGACAAATACGTAATTGAATAAATTTGGTAGATTCACAGCCGCCAAGGAAAAGAATCCTCCTCTTTTGGTGGGATTTACTTTCTTTGATATCATCAAATTAAATTCCCATTGACTCAAACTTTCCAAAGTTAAAATTGCACGAAACGTTGAAATAATTTTACCACATTTTAAATTCTCAGAAAAATTTGAACTTTCCTAACTACCAAATGCCTGTTTAAGGTCCAATCTAGTACGAACAAAGTTAGTCTAGATGTGTAATCTTGATTGGTCAACGAAACCTGTGGTTAGAGCCAAAAAAAATTGTTCCATTCTCACAACATCAAATCAAATATCCATCTATCCATCTTCAATTTCTTTAGTGTCTTCAGGAGGAATTTAATGCAAAGGTTTTTACTTCTTACAAATTGAAACATGGGAGTGTTAACAAAGTTGTCTGCATATGATGGGTGGAAATGGGATCATTTTGGTCTGCCTCAGTGGCTATGGAAACAAGGCATCCACAGAAGCAAACAATAATGGATTAGAAGGTTTTCATTACCTTTGTTCAGAGGCAGAATTGTTCTTTCCATATGTTCTCTGCAATATAATATAATGTTTTGAGTCTTTTAAAATGGCAAGGTAAGAAAATCTCAAAATTAAAACCATACAATTGACCTCATATGCATGGAGTTGGAGTAGCAGTAGCCCCCAAAACAGAAACCCAACACATTGATAAGGATGTGTAATAGTATTTATGAACTTCAAATCATGCATTAATGAGTTTTATGTTTGTCAAATTATCTCTAGCAGTGGAAAAATATCGGCACAAACAATTCTTTCAAATGAATGAAACTTGTTGAGGAGAGGATAACTAGTGTGTACTAGCTTATTCCTCAAGGTATGAAGATGTTTTTTTTTCCTCTTCATTTTCTCTTTAGGGTAAATCACGTTTCCTCCTAAAGCAGCATCCTGTTTCCCAATCGAACTTTGCCTTTGGTTTTCCTTGAAATCTTTTTGTATGAGAATCTTGAAATCGGGGGCAAATGGCAGGATAACTCTCACCGCCTCACCAGATGATGCTCCGGGTCTATAAAAAATATTCTAAATTTCCTTATCCATAATCTCAATACACACTAAGTGACCTCTTGGGTGACACCTAAGGGAAGATAATGATCATCAACAGCAATCGAAAGTATTTGGTTTTGCTGTAGGAGCAGCACAGGCTCTTGCATTACTAGGAATACTGTCTTTTCAAGAATGTCTAGCCCTACCCACAGACATTCTCCTTATCCTCTACTTTCTTGGCAACTTGTATCTAAGATGGCTTATTTGGGAATCTATGAAATATCATGATCTGAACAACTTTTGTTCTCTCCCAATTTCTTTATTTTTCCTTTCCACGTGCCTTGAGCCCTTGAAGAACAGGTAACCACCTCCAAGGTTGTGTATATAAGATTTTCACAGAGATCAAGTCTCCTCACACCAAGCATGCACTCAAGTCACTTCACAAGCATTCATATTTCCTACATTTTTCTCTCCATTTCAACTAGCATATAGAGTACCAAGTTCTTTTTCAAGCAAACTTCCTAATGGACAACAACTAGAACGGGCACTGACGGCATCAGGGCAAATGCCAAACATACCAGCTGTATACATAGGGGAAGAATTGGTTGGGGGAGCAAATGAGATCATGACCCTCCACCTCAAGGGAAAGCTAGTCCCATTGCTCAAAAAGGCAAAAGCGACAGCATCAAGTTGTTACGAAAGTAAAAAGAGAGTTTCTGAATAAGTTGTATTTTTAGAAAAGAGAATACACAACCCTATTAATACATGCTAGAAGACTTCTAATAAGGAAACAAGTTTCCATATGACTACCTACTCAAATCCCTATAAATCTCCAGGCTGCCTAATATATATAGGTTCCATAGACCATATTACTTGTACATTCCATAACATGAACATAATGAAGCTCTGAATGACCATGAGTGGTAATTTGCCTTTAGTAGTTCAATAAGAAGGCATATTACCAGAACTTGTCATTGAGCATATTTTTTTGTAACAAAATGAATGACTATGGACTACCTGAGATCTCTAAGTTTGAATTGTGTATATATCTATTAATAAAGTGAGAGCTCATAATTACATTTCACTTGAACAAGAAAACATAAAGTCCTTAAAAAATCTTCCTAGTCAAAATAACATTTTCTATATTTGAAAATTCTCCCCGTAGATTTTGCTACCCTCAACTTTAAGGCCAGTTCTTTTTATAAAATGATGATTTATTCATAGAAGAAAAACGACAACACTAAAGTAACAGCTCATGCATGTTCCTTTCTTTCATTCTATTACTCTACTCTATCTTCACTTTTTTCAGGTGGCATCTAGATATATTTTTGGAACCAACACTACTCATGCAGCCAAAATGTCATGGTATTATTTGATCATTTCAGTTTTCTATCTTACTAGTATGCCAAGGCATCCTTCAGAAATCTAAATGTTGGTGGTCCATACTAGACAAGATAAGAAAATTAGCTCACGAGGCTGTTTACGAAAAATAAAACAATCTTATGATTATGTGTATGTTAAAAGAGGCCATAACTGTTAAACTTCAGCAGTTGCACAAATACACCCGTCAATCTGTCACTGTATGTGTTATTGTTATGTGCTCACATCACGGACAAGAAACCATAAGGAAAAAAGAACAAAGAATAATAGTTGGAAAAAGAGAAGAAGAAAATATTGGGTTTGCTTAAGACCCAAAACTCCCTTAGACCCTTTTATGGATTAAATTTCTGCTCTCCCATTAGTTTAAATAACGCTCCCTTTTATAGGGCTGATTACAAAGATAATTATTTGGTAGTTTCTAAATAATTAATCTACCTAAACTAATTCAAAGACTAAGATAAGTTAAATAACTATTTAGTAGTTTCTACATAAGACTTCCTAAATAATCAAGGCCCAACATGCATCAATTATGCTCTCCAAAACAAATCAAAGCAGCCATTCACTTCCGAAATCAATAAAGAAACACCATGAAAAAAATAATAACACAAAGATAAGGATAAACCTTGTGCATTCATGTTGAGACTAGAAGAAGCGCTTACAAATTTGCATGATTGTTTCCTTGATCAGATTATTTATCAGAAAGTTAAGTACCAACTCTGTCGGTCACCCATCAATAAAATCTTTCAAGTAGGGGTTATGTTTCTCAGTTTTGGCATGCCTCCGCCAATTTGCCACTGCTCTCTCAACAGTGTCCTTTGCCTTCTGTATCTCCTCCGAGTTAAATTTGTGTTCTATGATTCCCAATGCACCAGGTTGTAGCACCTTGACAACAGTTTCCACGTCCTGCTCCAATCGCCTGTAGGGACAAGAAATGAGCAGAGAATACAATACCTTGGACATACAATGAAGCTTGCAGAAAAGTTCATACTCAAGTTTCAACAAATTGAGTTCAGACTTTATCCTGCTATCCATAAATAAGTGCAGCGCAAATCTAAATATGAACAGCAAATAATTGATCTTATCGCATCAGTTATGAACAACAAATAATTGATCTTATCAGCAAATATGAACAGCAAATAATTGAATAATTTTTCTTTATTTTTAATTATTATATCACATCAGAGACAGTAAAGCCTTTGCTCATAAACTACCACCAAGATGACTCGTTTACACAGATTAAATCAACCCACGAAACATAAAAAGTAAAAGCATACAGATTATTAAATTAAGAAGAAAGCATAATTCTGAGGCCTTCTAAGTGAAAGAAGAACATTCAAGAATTAATATCATTACAGGTTTTTGTTCGATATTTCGAAAGGGAACAAGAACAGCCGAGAAGTATACGCACCTAAAGAGACTGGAAAAAGGAATTGCATTTCCGATCTTCGAGAAAGATAAGCGCATTTTGCTCTGTTGATGAGTGATTTCTTCCAAATCCAATCATCAAAAATTCAAAATTATGAATAAAATTCTGGCGATTCAAAACACCTCACCAAGTACTGCTTCCTCCAAATTCCCTTTCCGACAACACGAGCTATCTATTCCGGCTCCGATTCTATCATTCCCATTTCCCTAGCAATGTAGATATACGGCGTAAATAGGGCCTACATTGGAAAAAGTGTCAAATTAGCCCCTAAGTCGAGTGCATAGTGCAATTGGGTCTCGAAAAAAATTTCATTCAGATCTCCTAAATCTGTAAAAATTGTTTAATTAAGTCCAATTGACTTATTTATCAGGTTAAATACATACAGTGTTGACACGTATTCTTATTTTTTTTTTAAATATTATTTATTAGAATTTAATAATTATAATAACTAAAAATTTAAATTTAAAAAAAAAAAAAAAAAACACAAAAAAGTCACCGGATGTCTACGCCGTAACGCGGACAGCCGGGGGACAACTGTGGCCGTCGGGTCACGGCTGTTTTTTTTTTTAAATAATTTTTTTTAATAATTATTATTATTATTTTAATTAATTTATAATAAATAATATTTTTAATTTAAAAATTAAAATAAGGACATGTGTCAACACTATATGCATTTAACCTGATAAACAAGTTAACTTGGACTTAATTGAACAATTTTACAGGTTTAGGGGACCTGAATGGAGCTTTTTTCACTTAGGGGACCCAATTACACTATCCACTCGACTTAGGGGGCCAATTTGACACTTTTTCCGCCTATATTATATTGATATATATTTTCGTAATTAAATTTTAAATTACATTAAAAAATACGAAAATCAATAAATTGAAATAAAATTTATATACTGCATACATACTGCTTTTTCTGTGGACTACTAGGCCATGCTCACGAGTATTGTTTAAAAGTCCGAGACTCATTGATGTCGATTGAGCAATATCCGTACGGGACGGACCTCAGGAGTGCAGGGGGGCGTCATGGACCGAAGGAGATTGGAGAGCCATGGTTGGTTCCCGTTGGTCAGTCTAAGGCGAGAACACCTGCTGTGGTCGGGGCTGTTGAGAAACGGCAGGTTGACGCGGCAGTTTTGGTAACAGTGAGGGGGATAGGGTGGTGGAGGCAGTGGCTAAGCGGCGACGGGAAGCTATGGTAATTATCATGAGACTGGGGTTCGGGGGAAGTGATGTGACAATGACAGATATTTCAAAAAACTTGCGATCGGCGGGTTCTGTTTCACAGGCCCGCTCAACCCAATGAGTACCCTAAGCTGGAACTGTCGTGGCTTAGGCAATCCACGTACAGTTCGCGAAGTGGTGGACATGGTGTCCCGTAAGAAGCCTGATTTTGTATTCTTAATGGAAACCAAGGTGGGACGAGTACACGCAGAACGTATTAGTGTCAAGCTTGGTTTCGATGGTTTATTTTATGTTGATTGTGTTGGATTGAGTGGTGGTTTGGCTTTGCTGTGGATGAAAAATAATACGGCAAGACTTTTGAGTTACTCTAAAAATCATGTTGATGTGGAAGTAGATATGACTGGGTTTCCAAAGTGGCGTATGACTTGCTTCTATGGTGTCCAGGAACGTAACAGGCGACATGAATCATGGGAACTAATTAGATCATTGGCGTCCAGGTCAACTCTCCCGTGGATTGTGTTGGGCGACTTTAATAATCTTATCTTTCAACATGAGAAGAGAGGGGGTAACCCGTATCCTAATGGCCTCCTTCGCGGTTTTGGGGATGCTATTGAGGATTTTGGGCTAGCCCAAATGACGATGGAAGGTTATCAGTATACTTGGGAAAATGGGAAAGGAACGGCTGAGTGGATTGAGGAAACACTGGATAAAGTATTGACAACAGAAAGCTGGCGTGACACTGTTACAGAGGCTCGGGTTTCTAATATGCTAACTCGAACGTCGGATCACTCTGCCCTCTTTTTAGGGATCCATGGCTCTCTAAGGAGAACTGGGAAGAGGGACTTTCGTTTTGAGATGGCATGGTTACATGATGAGGGATGTAGAGGAGTTGTGGAGGAGTCATGGCATGAAGGAAGGGGTAGGGGCTTACAGGATTGCATTGAATTATGTGGTGCCTGGTTGTCACGATGGGGAGGCGATCGTTTCCATACGTTTGGTGAAAAGATTATGACCATCCGGAAAGACCAGCTGCATCTACGAGGGCGCACGGACCCGGCTTGTCTGGCTGAGTTCCAGCGCCTGGAGGAGCATTTATCACGTATGGAGGCCCAGGAGGATGTTTATTGGAGACAGAGGGCCAAGCAACACTGGCTCAAGGGTGCTGATGCCAACACCAAATTTTATCACAGGTATGCCTCTCACCGAAAAAAAAAAAATACTATTTCTAGACTTATGAATGATAATGGGGATTGGGTTGAGGGTGATGCCATGAAGGTTGTTGCTATGAATTACTTTAAGAATATTTTCTGCACTGGCCATCCTGAGAATAGGGAAAAAAATTTTGCGAGGATAGTCCCACGGGTAACCCAGTCACAAAATGAAAGTCTACTGCGCCCCTTTGAGATGGATGAGGTTAAAGTTGCACTCTTTTCAATGTTTCCTGATAAAGTCCCTAGACCGGATGGTATGAATCCCGGATTCTACCAGCACTTCTGGGATGTTGTGGGTGGAGATGTTTCGCAATTTGTGATTAATTGTTTAAATTCGCATTCCTTTCCCCGTAATTTGAATGATACAGATGTGGTCTTGATCCCTAAGAAAGATACCCCCAACTAATGACTGATCTTAGGCCTATTGCCCTGAGTAATGTGGTGTACAGGGTTATGGCTAAGATGATTAAAGAGAGAATGAAGGCTTTGATGGAGGGAATTATATCTGAGTCGCAGAGTGCTTTCATACCAAATAGATTGATTACTGATAATATTTTATTAACTGCGGAGGTTGGGCATTACTTAAATAGGAAACAGTGTGGTACTACAGGTTGGAGTGCTATTAAGTTGGATATGGCCAAAGCCTATGACCGTATGGAATGACCTTTTCTACGAAGTATGCTCTTAGCTCTTGATTTTGATGGTAGATGGGTAGAGCTTATTATGTTATGTGTAACCACAGTTTCTTACAGCTTCCTAATCAATGGCTCTCATAGTGACCTTTTGATGCTGTCACAGGGTTTAAGACAAGGGGACCCTCTATCTCTCTACCTTTTCATTATTTGTGCAGAGGGGCTCTCTTTACTTTTACAACAGGCGCAAAACAGTGGCTCTATCCATAGTTGCAGAGTAGCCAGGGGTGCATGTGACAACCCAAAATTTAATTTTTAGAAATTTCAAAATAGCCATTTTCACTCCATTAAAAATTTTTGCGATAAATTGGTGTTTGAATAAATTATTTTGAGTTACATTTTAAATTAATTCAACACCGAAACTTATTTTAATTCCAAAATCTTAAATTTTCAGGTACTTCGTGTACCAAGTTTTAAACTTAGAAACCAATCTGAGTGAGACCGGGAGAAATCTGAACCAAGTGTTTGTTTAGAAATCATCTTTGAAAAAATCTATTTTGACCCCAAGTTATTCAAAAATCATCTTTCTAGCCTTGGTTCATGATATAAGGTGAACCTTGACTATTACTACAAGACAAAGCATTTGATGAGATATTTTAAAGCAAGCAATTACATTTTCACCCCTCAACCCTAGCAACAAAAGAACACAATTCTACCCTAACTCTTGTTCATTCTCTTCATCTCCCTTGGCAGCCATTTTCCCCTCTCACGTGAATCTCTCTCTCTCTCTCTCTCTCTCTCTCTCTCTCTCTCTCTCTCTCTCTCTCTCTCTCTCTCTCTCATATATCCTCCTTCATCTTTGAAGCTTCATCTTCCAAAAACCTAGGTCCAAGACTTGGTAAGATTTCATCTCTTCTTCTCCATTTTCCTTTGATTAGCTTGTCTTTGAGATAGATTATCTAAGCTAGATGTATTTTTGGGTATTGTGTTGGTGGTTGCTTGAGAAATGGAGATGGTGAAGAGGAAGACCTAGCTTGAGGTTGGAGATAGAGGGATTCTTGAGGTTGAAGCTTGAGGTATAACCCATGGATTCCCAAATCTAGTATTTTTGCCCTTAAATATGTGATTTATTTGTGCAAGTGGGTTTATACTTATGTATTGAGTGTTTAAAGTGATGAAATATATGTTATTTGTTGTCATCTTGCTATGTGATTTTGGAGAAGTGTTCATCTGTTGAAGTGTTAATAGAATTGCAGTAGTAGAGAACCTTTCTGGGGAGCTAACGGACTATAGTAATGAATCTTGACAAAATTTGTCACTATAGTTTGTAGTGGCTCATTGATAAGTATATTAGTGAGTAAGAGTGAGAGCTTGGGATTTATTCTCATTGTTGGCATTATATTTTAAGCTTTAATTGATATGTGATGCTTTGAAAATTGTTTAAAGTGGGATTTGGATCCTAACCTCTTAATTACTAATTAAAATCCCTTCCATTTGAGCTACTTCAACCTTTAAGAAATTATCTTGGAGCATATATTATATTATTTAGGCTTGAAGGATTATTTAAATTTAAAAGTATTTTTTTTTATTATAGAAAATCATAAATATGTTTGAGAAGGGTTTAAACTACCAAAAGCTATGATTTGACAAGAAAGCTCTATTTCAAGAATTATATATATGAGTATATATGTTTTGGGGAAACTTTATACTTGATTTTGAGAATATATACTTATATAATTATGTATGAGGTGTATATTTGATTATAAAGATATTTGAAGCTTATTCTATTATTTCTCTAAAATTTCTTAGCTATTAACATCGTATATTTTGGGAAATACTATGTATCCCTAGAAAGGTTTAACCTAAGAGCTTTTGATCTATAAAGTGTATAACTCCATGGTCCGTGAGTTTCTCCAGTGCAGTGGCCGGGCCCTTGTGGCTTAGCTATGTGTCGTTTTAGACCAGGTGTCACGGGCCCTTGTGGCTCGGTACCTTGGGGCCGTCATGACGCATGTTTGGCCTTTGATTTCGTTGATTTTGGAGTAGAAATGAGCATGTTTTGATAGAATTTGTGTTGGAATTGTTTACAGAAATGTGCAAGTGAGTTATATCAGACTTAGATTGCCTATTTGATCTTCCTGATGCTAATTGAGTGTTAA